AAATATTTGACAAAAAACCGGTTTTTTTGCATTTTCTGTTTTCTGTTCTGTTACTTTTTTTTGCGCTTTGCAAAAGTAAACTACAAAACTTTACAAAAAAATTGCAAATGATTAATTCACCCTGCAAATTTTGCAAATGATTACTTTACACAAAAAATAAGTGTCTTATGTATATTAATAAAAGACAAAATGCGTAAAATGAAAGAAATCGTTAATAAATAAATAAAAATAGTTTTAAAAAAATAGAAATAGAAAATTTGTTTAAGCAAATATTATTGCTGTTTTTAAAATAAATTTAGTTCCAATAATTTAAGGAATATATTTCCGGACAATACTTTTAAATTGTGAATTAAAAACTTCAGTTTCTAAAAAAACTTTATATTACATTTAACATAAATGTTTTATAATATTTTATAATATTTAGTTTTTAATATTTTATAATATTTTATTTAGACCTATATAAAAGCAACTTATTATATTTGTTAATTTTGTTTTTTAATATAATTTTTGTTAAAACAACTCATACTCATACTCGTTACATATAAATTCTTTTTTTATAACTTTTCAAACTGCAAAATAAATTAAAAGCTTAAAAATTGTCTCTATGGATATACAAAACTTCTTTATCTACGATTCAATGTCAATAAAAGAAATCATATACAAAAATTTTGTGTTTTGTATTAATGTATAACATATAATTGTACTAAAATTATACAAATATTTCAAATTGTAATAATAAAATTTATTAAAATAAAATATTATTTTAAACAAAAATTAAACTCATAAGTACATGCTATGGATAAATCATGTACTCATAGCATCAAAATATCAAACAAATAAAAAAAATATACAAACAGAAACGAAATGCTTTCAAAAACCAATACAAAATGAAAGTGATCTAATTTTTTGGTGCAACGCTTTGTTTTGCATTTTATGCAAAGACTCTGCAATGAAATCTTTATTTGCAAAATGCAAAGTAAATCATCTTAAGTCTTTGGTGCAACGCTTTTCAGTTTTACTTTGCAAAAAAACTTATATGTTTTGCAAAGTGCAAAGTGAAAAGTGTTGGTGCAATAGGGCCCTGATAGATAGCCGCACTTTCCTAAAGGACTGACCAATTAGCAAGTGTCTATTACAGTCCACTAGCTAGCCTCAACGACTGATCAGGAATCATAGAAACCTTCTTTCAACCTCTGCGTTGGCGGCAGTTCTTAGTTTGTGTGCTGAATTATGTCACATGAAAAATCATCATGTCATGACTTCCATATGACATGCTTCAGTCTACAATAAGCTCGTACACCACGACAAGGTGACTACCTAGCAGAGATTCGAAGTACTAAGAATTGACCGGAGATTCTCAAAGGTGCACCAAAAACCATCTCGGCTATGCAGTACCAATGACACCGCTGCGTTTCAGCTGGATGTTTCAGAGCATTTGATGGCAGACTTTAATGAACGATGCCACCGCTCTATTATACCGTTTGATTACGGGTGGTACGGTGTGGTATAAAAATGTCTAACTCCCAGCAATTCCATTAATCCGTGGTTGTATATAAAGGGATACCATAATTGCATATCCAACCACTGATAAGTATAGTGACAATATTTTGTGCTGTTATAGCGACCTCATTTATTTAGGAATAAATCTACATCACTCATTTATTTGGGAACAAATGAGCGATAGAAATTTATTATCCCTAAAAATTGTTTAAGCTGTTTAGCTATTTTAGGTTTTGGAAAATTGCGTACGGCATTCATTTTTTCTTCGGGTGGGTTAATATCTTGTGTGCTGATGTTATGCCCTAAAAAAATTAGTTCATGCTTACCAAATTGACATTTTCCAAAGTTTACAGGCAAATTTGCTATACGAATGTGTTTCAGCACAATTCGTAGATGCTTTTCATGCTCCTTCTCTAAGTTTGATCCTA